CGAGCCACTGGCGCCTCTGTTCGTTCTGCGAGTGCGGAGCAGCGTCTCAGCTCCTCGCCTCGGGAAGCGAACAAAGATGCCAAGATCGTCTTGAATCTTTCGGATGTTGAGATATAATTACATAATACTATAATATATATGTCTATATTTGTATGTGTTATATACATATATAACGTGTAGCTATAAGTAATATATATATATGACAATACATTATATTATATTGTTAGTATAATATGGACATACAATGTACACTGTGCACCTTTTCTGTGCGGGGTTACCCTGGGTAGTGCTCAATCCATAGCGTTCTGACAATGGCTTTAAACATCAACTGGCAGGAAGGCTGACCACAGGTTCGCTTTCCAGCAACTGGGCAGCCGCTTTGGAGTCTGAAACGGCAGAATTAGATTCTTATTGTTACTAGTAGTAAGGCACTTGTTCCTAATAGCTTCTTGTTTCTACTAGTAAGGCACTTGTTACTAGTAGCGATGCACTTGTTCCTAATAGCTGCCAAAAGAACAAGCAACATTCCCAAAGCTACAGCTATAGACATTCTTATCGTTCCTCATGGACGAAGATCCTCTGCAACACTCCAACGTAAAACTGGTCATGTCTTTCATTCAGATGCGAAACCTGGGCACTTCTTTTTCCGTCCAAACTGCGGCGCAAGCTCTGAAGTTGAAGATTTGGAAGGTCGGGGTCGAACTCCGCTGGATCAAGACCCGTCCTTCCATCACGAACGACTGCCACCCAGGAGAACAAGAACTATTACATCTCCTCATGAAAACAACACGGGATGATGAAACAAACTACGCAGAAACACACACAGAAACATGTTGAACGTGGTTTCTAGATTTCGATGACCTGTAGCCACGGACCTGGATGACCACGATTTCCGACTTCAAGATCAAGAGCAAGGGCCACAGGCGGCCGGACACAGCCCGCTGCGGATCGCAGCGAACAGCTGGAGTCGTACGGATGGCGAGACAAAAACTGAACACGTCTCGTGAGTCTCGCATTGCTCTGTTCAGGCCAGGGGGAAGGTTCTTTGAGATCACTCTGCGATCTAAAAATGGGTGACGAGAGAGACCACTAAGTCTGGGTGAAGAGAGATGCGACGAGTTTCACGCGATGGATTCAACCGTCATCACTGGCCGTGGGAAAAAAGAGGTCCAATCGACTGGATTTCCGGTTCCCTCCCGTGCTTCGATTTGCGAGCAGGATGTAAATTGGACACCTTTCACACCCTGGATGAAAGAACAGGAAAGATTGAAGAAGTTCCAGCAAGCAGCATGCACCTACAAAAAACTCTCACATAGAATCGTAGAATATATGGCAACATGCAAATCTGCACCTCGCAAAGGATAGTAGTTCGCACACCATTCCATGGTTCTAAAACAAATAAGACATGTATTTACCGTCCAAAAAGGTCCCGGATGCGCTTGGACCTTATGATGTTTCATTCATCTCGGTCCGTTCTGAAGCAGCAATATGGGGCTCATTGGAGCTCCGCTGTTCGCACCCTCTGGCCTGGTGGAAAGGGGGAAAACCATGCATATTGAAGCTTGAAAACTCAACATCCTCAGCCTTTCAGCTAGTCAAATCACAATCACTTCGGCTTGCAAGTGGATTTACTGTTATTTCTAAAAGACTTCTGATGGGTTGCGCACTTGGTGCTGCTTTTGCCCACACTGTGGCACAAGCTCTGAAACAAATACAATTCCAGTGGCATTGAGTACGACAATCGTCCCACTCTGGATATTAACAATATAACTGCTGGACTGTTAAGCATATTATAATGACACAACCCAATTATTTTACATATGCTTTCAATCTATTTAGCACTTAATTACAGTAATATAGTTTAGATTAAACTCCATATAATGTCAAACAACACATGGCTTTAAACACAGTGATCTGTTACACATGTGCTTCCAAAGCATGGGCCATTTCTTGGTTCACGGTTCGATAAACACCCGTGGACTCTCCCAAAACCGGCAGGCCCTAGGGCAAAGGGTGCTTATAGCCAAGGAGCAGAATGCAGAATGGGGTGAAATGTGTAATCTAGGAAATCCAAAACTGTGTGCTGAAGAGGGAGTGACTCACTGCTTGCAACCCCCAAAGGCCCGAGATAACTCCATATTCTAGCTGCTCACTCATGCTTCTCAGTGCTTACAAAAGGAATGAAATGCAAGGCAAAATATGTTTGAAGTTGCAATTTGATCAAGAATCTCCTTTCCAACCATTTGGGTCGTCTTGTGGTATCCCGTTTGATACTGTAACAACTCGATCACTATCTACCATGCATCATGCTCCAGTTTGCACCCTCTGGCCCGGTGGAACCCTTTTTCTGAAGAGAATTCAGGCGTCCTCTCGACCAGCGAACCAATCTGGCAAAATTGAACGGGGAAAACCATGCATATTGAAGCTTGAAAACTCAACATCCTCAGCCTTTCAGCTAGTCAAATCACAATCACTTCGGCTTGCAAGTGGATTGACTGATCCAATTTACTCCTGTTATTTCTGAAAGACTCCTGGTGAGTTGCGATGCTCCACAACACAGCACTTGGTGCTACTTTTGCCCACACTGTGGCACAAGCTCTGAAGCAAGCAAAAGAATTCCAGTGGCATCGAGACACTTGTCCCACTCTGGATATTAACAATATAAATGCTGTTAGCCATAACATAATATGTCTAATATGTGCCGCGGCATTTATTTGGTACTAAACTGAAGTGGACTATCTATTATATGGGGCCCTATCTGGTTTAGACTACTCAAGTAGGAGGTCATGTAACTGTATCTCGTTCAGACTACTTTAGTAGGAAGTCACACTATTTCATTCAGACTACTTTAGTGTCATCATGTGTCATCAAGCCAAAGTATTTCGTTTATGTGGGGGCCCCATCTCCTTCACAAGCGGATACTGATGATAGACAAGCAAATAGAGCATGCCGTAGACTACTTAATATAGTTTAAGTTAATATCAATATGTAATGTCAAACAACACATGGCTTTAAACACAGTGATCTGTTACACATGTGCTTCCAAAGCATGGGCCATTTCTTGGTTCACGGTTCGATAAACACCCGTGGACTCTCCAAAAACCGGCAGGCCCTAGGGCAAAGGGTGCTTATAGCCAAGGAGCAGAATGCAGAATGGTGTACTGCTGAATGCGCACTTCATCATCAACACTTGTCATACTCTAAGCTGCTCTCGTACCTACAAAATGTGTTGTGCTTTGGTGCCTTTTTCATGCCTGCTCCCATCTGCTCCCTCCGTCCAGCTGCCGGATTTTTACTGGCCTGGAGGCTAGGCGACGCAAGGAAATTGAAAATGGGCAGGAGTTCACCGAGGGAAACTGAGATAAACTATAAGCTGTAAAAACTGAAAACGCAAGTGGTCAACAATGGTCAAGATCTAAGCTGACTATGCTATAGCTCATAGAACGGGACCATTTGTGGCAACAGGCCCTAGATTCATTTGGGGCTTCACGGCTAGCTGAAGGCTAAAGCGGCGACGATATAAGACGTGGTGACGTGGCCCCAAACTGTCTGACTGGACTGGACTCGACATGACATGACCGACTCTTCACGTGATGAACTCATGCAACGCTCATGCGTCACCAGTTCGCTACTAGGGGCTCCTGGCATCGCTACTAGGAGCAAGGAAGCTATACTAGTAGCTCCTGGCCTTACTACTAGGAGCAAGGACCGGAGGCGGGCTGAAGGGCCACGGCCACGACTGGCGAGACCGGTTGTGACGTCCCGGTCGGACGAAAAAAGGGCTGAACGAAGCGGTGCCCAGGGATCTCAACCCCGGAAGCGTCGTTCCAAGACGGACGGGCTTTGGTCCGGAGAGAAAATACCATGTGTGACGTTCCTGTTTGTGTGGAATGTGAGTGGGACATATGATCACCTATGACCTATAAAATAAAACACATATATATATATATATTATATTGTCCTAAATCAGCATCATGACAAGAACATGACAGAACGTCCTTGAAAATCAATCTTTTTTGGCTGAAACCGGGCCACAAAGCAGACCAACTTCTTCCCGGGTGGGTGATCAAGTCGCTCGCGGCGGACGTGGGTGGACGCGGATCATACATTAGCAAAGAGTTTTTGGCGGGAGAGGATCTGCTGCAAGTCCGTTGTCACATGCATGATGCCAACCGCGGGTAGTTATGTAATATATAGTTCATGTATAGTTCATAGGATTTTGCAAACTCTTGATTGACCTAAATAGAGGTCCTCCTTCAGGATTAACATTGGTACCTATGAAACCCAAAACAAACATCGTATTGTGGCTCCACTTGACCAAAAACCTGGCGTTTCTGTCGAACATGTTGTTTTTCAAAAAGCACTAGGTCACTCAGTTTCGAAACTGTATAAAAACCACAGAAACACCGTAGAATCCCGTAGGCAATCATATCATTGTGCAACAAAACTTGTGTTTTCTTGAACAGCCTTGTGAATTTTCAGGGTATGACGTTTTTAAGGGTTCTTGGTTCTCCAGGTACGGCAACAAATTTTGCAAATCATAATGTTGTGACAAAGGACCCGTGTTTTGGGGGAGATTCCCGCACGGGACTGCGCGCATAAAGGTCACTCAGTGAATCTCAGTGATGTTGAAGGACCCGATGAAACCATTGCGGAGAAAATTGCGCCCAGGATCACCCTTGGCCCTCGCTGGTGCATCACTCTTGACTCAAATTGACGTACTGAGCACCATAAGCCGGACGCCGCACACGCACACGGTCGCCACTAACATGCACCACCCTGCTGCTCTGCAGTGGATCCTCGTGCATGGCTGAGGCACCCCAAAGGGAGTTCAAGAACTCATGGACCATCATGGACCTGTAGATGCTTGGCACCCATATCATCCACCATATGAATGAGGAATCAATACAGGAATCAACAACAATATTGTGGTTGATACCATCCTCCATATTGTGGTTGATGATTGATGCTCGTTCTTCAATATGAATCAACCTACTATTATCGCTCCCGTGACCATAGATGGCCATCGAATCCTTTTTCTACCCGAGGGCCGCGTAGAACATCTCAGAACTGCCGCCGACAAGCTCGGGGTCCGCAAACACGCAACCAGCGCTGTTCGCTGCTGGACACCACCTGAGGAGTCCATCAAACGTCATCTGTTCAGAGGACTCTTCAAACGTCATCTGACTCCCTCCGAAAAGCCCAACGAAAACATCTGCAGCATTGTAACGGGTCTTCATCGAGTTTGGTCCTATAAAACAGGGGTTCCCTACTCAAGTGATTCCAATAAACAATCATCTCTTCAACACGGTGCTCCAAAAAGAATAATCTGGCAGTGTCTGACTCAATTGACATTAGGTTGGAGGCCATCGCAGTGTCTGAATCAATTGACTTGAACCTCCCATGACCTCCCACCTTCGATCGCCCGGTTGTTCGACGGTCCCACTTCGACCGACGCTGCGACGGCGGACAAATCCGGCGAGGCCGGATACGATCCCGTGGATCAAGGGAGGATGAACGGACGCCCCAGCGGTGATGTAGCCGTGTTGATGTTGGTGTGTGTGTGTGTTGTTGGTTTTGTTAAACTAATTGTATATAAAATATAGTTCTAGTTAATTTTCACCATGTTCTCCACATGGTCCATCAACTCAATGGATGAATGTATAATACATAATGACGTACCGTCATCATATATGGTTTCTTCTGCTTTCTTGGCCGCATTGGTCGAGGACAGTGGCGGGTACCTTGACTGCACCGACGACGCAGTGACCCCATCGACCGCCCCACGCCTCCAACCCCCCATCCGAGGCACCAATGGATCCGATTGTTCCAGATCCGCGAAGAACTGCTCGAAGCCACGGGGCGGAGGAAACCGCTCCAGTGAGGAGGAGGCTTCTGAGATCAGGCTCTTGTGCTCGCGGGACCTGCGCTTGCAGGTTTGCGTAAGGGGGGGGGGCTGCTCTTTGGTCATCGTTGTAGTCACGCTGTAAGGGTGCCAAAAGCAAAGGAAATGACATGAAATGATACGGGTTCTCTTGTTTCCATGCTTCGAGAGTGCTGTTGGATTCCTGTTTGATCACAGCTTGGATTCTTGGATGATCACTGCATGATTCATGATCGTGAAACAAGAAAACCATTCCTGGCTGAGCACCCATGATCATGATCTTCAAACAGTTGACACTCATTGACAAATTTGCCAACTGAAGCAACATCTGGAAGCGGATTATAAATATCTCCCCAAAGGATGGTTTTTCGTTTGACATCCCGAAAGCAGTCCATTCCGCTCGCTTGTTTGGCCAGCCAGGGAAGGGGGGTCCATTACCCACTGTCAGAATCCATAGGCTAAAAGCCCTACATAATGCGGCCAACACGAGTGGTCCAGACAGTGGCTGTCACCACATCTTGACATATTGTCTGGGTTTCAGGTGTTCAATACATTGCTCTGTGAGGATGCGGGGTGTTCCCACCGCGATTTATAACAGTCAGCTGGTTTGGTGCAAGATTTTGGCCCCAGGCCATTGTGGGAGGAAGATCCCAGAAATTGCAGCCGTCAGTTTTTGGCTGGTGTGAACTCAGGTTACTAACAACCTCAATGTTCACCAACTCGTTCATCTCACCCTTTAGAGCATGTGCAGCCTTATAGTAAAGAGCTACCCAAATACTTGGAGCCCGAGAGTAAAATGATAACACTTAAAAACACTAATGGCTTTATGTTGCTTTTGGGTCTACCTCTGCCAATTCTACCCCATAGATTCCGTCGAGATCGGTGTCCCGGTCCTGCTGAAGGCAGAGCGAATCGCTGGATGACTCGTGGGGCCAACATACTCATCGGCCATGCGATTCCAGGTGTTACGAGCATTCGGGTTGGCACCAAACATCAGGAGCTTGCAGACGATGTAGGCATTTTCCTGTTTCCTTAGGTGTAAAGATGGTCACTGCACGCAGTTTTCATGCGTTTTTCCTCGAAAAGCGTTCCGCAGTTCCATGTCAATCACGGCTTTTTTGGGTAGGCAGGTGGTGATTCACGGTAGACAGGGGCCCCTGACCGGTGCCAATCTCCAAATCGCCATGTGGTAGCAGGTCGAGCACAAAGGGCATCAAAGGGCTGCAAAGGAGAATGGTTTTCTTCCAATGGATCTAGTGGCTGGCGATCTGGGGTGGTTTGGTGTCTTCAGGCGGTGTTTCTTCGTTGGACACAGGGTTGTCACGGTGACCCAGCTAGTTGCTTGTCATGGCAACGGAGGACGGGGGGTGGGGCCAAGATGATAACGTTCGTGTTCACATGCATTGACTCCATGCAGTTCTCCTCCGGAGTGATGTCACGTTCCCGAATGTTGCCTGCGGCCGGAGAGTGCTTTCGACAAGTTCTACAGTTTTCTGAGAGCAAGTGTGTGTGTGTGTGTGCGGCTGCGTGCCCGCGCGCGTGCAAGTGTGCGCGTGTGTGGTGTGTGGGTGTGTGGGTGTGTGGGGTGTGAAGTGGCAGCAGAAAAAACGTCGCCCGGATTCGTTGGTGGATATTGTTGATGTGCTTGACCTCAAGTCTCGTTCGATCCGCAGTGATGCGACTCAGGTCTTGCCATTAGCTTGGCATTTCATTTCAGTGTAAGTCGCCCGTTGCCGTGGGCCACGCTGCATGATCAGCACTGATTTGTTGCATCTAAGGACCGGGAGGTTCCTGGAGAGTCACTTGAAGCTGCAGTTCCATCAAAATAGTATGTTATAATATATTGTATATACAGAAAAAGGTTGATTGGATCTGCACCTTCAAATGTTCTTCAAACCTTTGCTACTCGCTTGGTTCAAAGAACAGCCCGTTCCACTATCAACAATCCATCACTTGACCAAAGCTGCCCAAGTACAAGGCCCCAGAACGAGGTTTCATAGACCCGAACAAGTCCTTTACATCCCATTCAGAGAGAGAGAGAGAGATCTCACTCTTTCCCCAGCCACACCTGGATCCATACCAAGGTGCACTGCTTCATGCAACGGATAGGTAATGATGAGGAAACCCTTGGAGCGATTCAGGTCATCGAAACCATTCTGCTGCAACCAAGTGTGCACCATCACCTCCCCAAACAGCGGAGACGGACACGTCGGGCACCGAAGCCGGCTTGGATGCCTGGAGGGAACGTTTTTGTTGGCGATGGTTGTGGTCAGAATTCTGTGGTTCCACACCAAAAAATTATACATTCTGGGTTGCTGTTGATGGGGGGTTCTGAGGTTTGCGGCGGTTGATTTCATCTTCAAACATCTTATCTGTTCATCCATCCACTTTGTTCACGCAGTCAGGACTACGACAGCTTTCAACCGAAGCAACCAACTGACTTCCATTGGTGCAATAGTGGTAGAGCGAAAAGCTAGCTGTTCATCCCAAACCAACAGGTGATACGCTCAACTGTGGACTACCCCTGCAGCCAAGTCTTCTGCAAAGCACACCTTTATTCAAACGAGCTCACTATCATGTTGACTGTCGAACCAACATGCAGGGTTGAACACTTGTTGTGAGACGTCAAAAGACCATGGACATCCATGGGCAGCACATAAAACAAAGAATCTGCTTCCCGGTCAGGCTCTTTTTTCGAACGAGGACAAAACAAAAATCCTATAGAACACTAGATTGATGAGCAGAGTCTCACAATTTCCAAACAAACCCAAACAAAGAAAAGGATACATTGATGGTCAAATGGTCTTGCCTATCAAGTAGCCAACCATACAAATCGTGGTCTTAGCAAAGGGCATCCCTCATCAAGCTCACTCAGCTCCACCCTGGCCACGCCCAGACCGCCTGAGCTTTGGCCAGCTCCTTGCGGTGTGCGAGGATGGCCAAGTCCTTGAATCAAGGCGCTGATCGTTACGTACCGTGAGGCACTTGGTAGAAGATATGTAAACAGATCCTCTTGGTGAGCTGAGTGGAGTGATTCCAAACTCGGCCTGTCGGTGAGTGCCATATCGGAATGTCCTGGAATCTCTGCATCAATAATGCTCCAGCACTACCTACAACTACACTCTCGGCAACGAGAGTGGCTAACTGGGCATGTCCCTTCTTAGGTGGGTCGACCGCAGAGTATTCAGTCGTCTGCAACTCAGGTATACATCGACCGAGTGTCTGTCTTGCTCAAGTCTTCCTTCCTTTGCAAATCTTGCGCCATGACTTTAAACGTGAGGATCCTTGACGCAAGACTTCCGTAGAGCCCAGCTGCAGCTCTGTCTTCGGATATCTGTCCAACTGAAGACATCCATACAACCACGTATCACATATGTCATCGCCGTGGTCAGTGTTTCCAAGGTTTGTCCAATTGGATTCTGTGGAAGTGTTGTCAGACTCCAAGTTCCGATGTCAAGGTGCATGCCGCAAAAAAAACACCCAACTAACTCCGGCAAGTTTGAACTGGGAGACATGTACACGACTGCTTATATGGAGCCTCCAAACTTGCCAGACCTTTGAACAAACAAACACCTCCAAATACCTTCTCAGAAACTAAGTGGATCCTGGAATCCTCAGTACTTGCACAACTTGTGCCAATTCCATGTTTCATTATCGAGTCTTGCTGTTGCAAACTCGAGAACAACATTCGTGCGGAACATGAAGGCCCTCCTCTGATTGCAAGTAGACCACCCACGCTCTATCATTGAAAGCCTGAGAAAGCGCTCGTCCAAAACCCCTTTTTGATCTACATCTGGTTGGCGGTTGAGCTGTCAATCTTCTCCTCAGACATGGCGCCAGTCTGTGTGGGTGCTGGAAACCGAGGATTTGGGGTCTTTAACACAGCCGCGTGTGGGAAATCCTGCCACAACGACTAAACGACTGGGGGGCTCACGCCGAGTTGGCCACCGCAAAAGTTGATGGATCTTCATGGCTCGTCTCGCAGACAGTTCTGACGGTCAGATCTGCGTGTCCTTGTGTCCCACTGACACGCCGAAAAAGGTAGGCCACTCTCGAAGACGTACTATAGTACTTCTTGGATCTTCTTGGATTTCTTGGTAAGAATGCTTTGCCACAAAACAGGACGCTAAAACTTAGGTCTTATAATCTTTGCTAACCTATATGTGAAGTTAGTTGGACCCTTCCAACCTACTGGAACTTTATGCCACTCCCAAACACCTTCTCAACCGGGATATGGAATATGGATGGTGATACCTACCAACAAAAACACGTCCAACCGCAGATTCCATGGTACTCACACCGATGTTGCTCCAAACCAATCCCCCCACTGTGCCCAGGATCTGCTGGGAAAAGAGGCCGCAAAGCTCGGAGGTAACCGCCAAAAAGGAGCCTTTGGAACTCAGCCCCACCGGCCCTGCTCGAGCCCCAGCGAACGAATCGAGATTGTTGGACTCATTGGAGCGAGGATCTTGAGGTAGCCACTGGCTGCAAA